TACGACCATGTCTGTTTCGGCTTCTAGTTTAGATCAGGTCAATGTTATGCTGCAGAAGGAACCATGGTCCATTTCTGAGTGGGTGGTGGGGAACAGGCTAAAACTGAATGTGCTGAAAGCCAAGTGGATGCTATTGGGCTCCAGGAACTCTATACAAGAACACCAGAAGCTGCACATTTCTTTGGAAGGACAACAAATTGAACAAGTAAAAGAGACCAAACTGCTGGGCATAACACTAGATCAAGCAACGTCATGGACTAAACATATTGACAAAACTGTGAATAAAGTGAGTGGGAACATTTCTGTAATTAGGAGCAATGTTCATTATATGCCGACAGAAACCAGAAAACTTGTTTCACAGTCATTGGTTTTTGTGTCATCTGGATTACTGTCCAGTTGTCTGGTCCAGTGCAGCTAAAACGGACTTGGATAAACTACAGACAGCTCAGAATAGAGCTGCAAGGCTAGCTCTCGGTTGTCCTTATAGAGCCAATATCAACTGGATGCATCACAGGTTGTCCTGGATGAAGGTAAATGACAGACTAGCCTGTAGCCTGATTCTCTCTTTGCAGAAAACTTGGATATCACATAAACCTTTTAGTTTGTTCACACAGTAGCTACCGACATGTAAGAGACATGGTTTTAACACAAGGAAAGCCTCCCAAGTAGCATTTACCCTTCAATTGCCAAAAACTAATGCCCTCAAGAGAACGGTCAGTTACAGAGCAGTTTCATATTGGAATATCCTGCCTCCAGGAGTGGCATTAATAAATGATCATGGCAGATTAAAAAAAATCTTAAGACTTTGGTCATACATAACAATTTAAAACTAAATGACCGATGTGGGTTTTTTAATTAGTTTTCTATAGTTATTAACTGGCCTTGGGGGGGTATATTTTCTTATTTGAATGGTTTTCATCTTTGCTGAATTTTCTTATTAATGGATATGCTTGTTTAAATGTTGTGTATGTTCTTTTTCTTACACTGCACATGTACTATTGTAAATGATTTTTAATGATGCGGACCCCAGGAAGAATAGTCTTCACTATGGTGAAGACTAATAGGGATCCTTAAATAAACAAATAAGTTTAGGTCTGGGGAGGAGGGTATTCAGGTGTTCAGGAAGATAAGCAGCAAGAAGATTGCAAGTCAGTGGGCAGGCAAAGGCCCTGGCAAGGCTTTGAGTTGTGGGACATGATCCTGTACAAGTGGGACCCTGAGGCAACGCTAAGGGAGGATCTGGGGTATAGGAGCTGGACAGACCCCCAGGCAGTGTTGGGAAAGTTTGTTTCAAAAAGGAAAAAGTTCAAAGTTCAGTTCATACATTTTAAAAGGAACTAGTACATTTTTAGTTCATCATTAAAACACTTTTTAATTAAGTACACTGTTCCCAAAACAAACTAGTTCATAATTCTTTTTTAATACATACGTGTGTGTGTGTGTGTGTGTGTGTGTGTGTATTCTACATGAGTAAAGACAGTTTGAATGGCTTTCATTAAAACAGGAAGAACCAGGCTGAGGTAGGAAACAAGGACGTACCTCAAGGTGCAAAACATTTAAATATCTTTAAATTAAGGAACTTCTCAAATTCTGTGAATTTTCTGGTTTGTTTGCCTAAAGAAAAAGAAAAAGTTATAGAGCTTCAGTCATGAAGAGCAACAATCAGCCCCAAGGTATTCAGTAAAAACGAAAGCAAATAAATAAACAAACAAATAGTTAAATGTTACCGGTGCGATTCTATGACTAGTATTTTCAGATCCGATTTTTCCCCCAATTCATTCCAGTTAATTCCAAACTCGGAAATTTTAACTTCAGAGTAGAAATAATGAAATGGAACACCCCCCAAAGTGAAACAATGATTTTTAATTCAACCTTGAGGTTCAAAAGCAGCTCTATGTGATTACAATAGTAGCTCCGTGTGATTACAGTAGCAGCTCCGTGTGATTACAATAGTAGCTCTGTGTAATTACAATAGTAGCTCCATGTAATTACAATACTAGCTCCATGTAATTACAATGGTAGCTCGGTGTAATTACAATAGTAGCTCCGTGTAATTACAAAAGCAGCTCCGTGTGATTACAATAGTAGCTCCGTGTAGTTACAATAGCAGCTCCATGCGATTAAAATAGCAGCTCCGTGTAATTACAATAGTAGCTCCGTGTAATTACAATAGTAGCTCCGTGTAATTACAATAGTAGCTCAGTGTAATTACAAAAGCAGCTCCGTGTGATTAAAATAGTAGCTCCGTGTAATTACAAAAGCAGCTCCGTGTGATTAAAATAGCAGCTCCGTGTAGTTACAATAGTAGCTCCGTGTAATTACAGTAGCAGCTCCGTGTGATTACAATAGTAGCTCCATGTAATTACAATAGCAGCTCCATGCGATTAAAAAAGCAGCTCCGTGTAATTACAATAGTAGCTCCGTGTAATTACAATAGCAGCTCCGTGTAATTACAATAGCAGCTCCGTTTGATTACAATAGTAGCTCTGTGTAATTACAATAGCAGCTCCGTGTGATTACAATAGTAGCTCCGTGTAATTACAATAGTAACTCTGTGTAATTACAATAGTAGCTGTGGTGAAAACATGTTTATTTTACACGATTAACTTTTAAGTGTGCATCTAAAATCGATGTTATGTATACTTGTATATTTTCCATGACGTCCGTCTTCCACACAGCATAGGCAGAGAAGAGTAGATGCCGCACCAACCGCTACTGCCTATGGTGGCCGCATTCACGAGTTCTACTTCTAGACTTTAGCTCCATGGAGATCTGCAGCTTGGACGGCGAAAAAACGCGTTCACAAACCCGCTCGCATGTGCCGAAATGAACGCATTCACTTTGACATTCGTCCAGCAAAATACAAACAAGTTCAGTTCACGAAAAAATGAACAAGTTCTTGAACGACTGTTCAGTTCTATTCTATTCTCAGACCCTCTATACCAGAAGTACTCAAATACAAGTGTCAAAGGGCCAAAGAGGGGGCAGTTCTTGTACTTTTGTCTACATGTGTCTGTTGGACTATAAAGCGATCCCTGGTTCTGGGCTCAGTGACCTTCACAGAAAGAGACCCGAATGCTTTTTTATGGCTTTGATAATAAATAATATAAAAGAGAGATGTTCTCCTTATTTCCAAGGCAGTTGTGAGATTTATTATATGACTTGTTTCTTCATATATTTATTGTTTTTTTATTATATGTATCGGCTGCTGGGCAGAACCTGCTGTGGTCTAGCACAGAGACAAGGTGATCAGGCATGGTGACCTTAAATATTTTACAGGTTATTGGCTCAGCCTTCTGACTGTCACACTCATACAGACGAGTGTTGGTGAGTAATGTAGCTGCATTTGACTGTTGATGCTCTACGTTGTTATTTCTGCAGTGAGCCTTAAAGGAGACATAACTTGCTTTTAAATTATTCCTTTTTACATCTAAGTCATTCAGTTGGGGTCCAAATACAGTGGAACTGCAGTTCTTTGGTCTGATTTCATCATTATTGTTGCTCTACAGCCCCCTCATCTACCCATGTTCTTAGAATAGTCTGAGAATGAGCTGTTTTTTGGGTACTGTCCCTTTAAATCTGGAAAAGGAGCTGCAAACTCCTCCCCCCTCCACAGTGCAGACCTACTCTCCTCCCCCAGTCGGACTTTGTAGTTCTATTGACCCTTTGCACGTGACGGCACGCCACCCATGTGACCGCCCCCTTCGCCATGATGGACGGCAAAAAGAGTGTTTACACCCATAGAAACTCCAGTGAAGGCAGTCAAAACAAGCCAGTTTGTAGCCTTTTATCGCTTTTATTTAGTTGATTTGACGACAAGTAAAATGGTTTTAGCTTGCTGCGTTGTTGGCTGCACTAAGAGACAAGGACGTAAACTCAACTCGTTTTTTTCCTTTTAATAACTTAGATGGAGACTGAGTATGGAGGTGAACTGCAGCGATCAATCAAGTGGACTAGCAGCCCTCAGATTTGCAGCGAACATGTTTTTACCGGGTAAGATGAACGATAATTTATTTCACGAGGAAGACAGGGACATGGATAAACGTGATGTGTTTATACTAGTTATTGATAATCTTGATGGATGGGTATTTCACCACGGAGGCTGCGCGTCGTCCACTGTAGTGTAAAGCGAGACATTATTAACAATATTAAAGCTCTGATGTATGATTACATGTGTTGAAATTACGTTATTTGTTTATCTGAGCGTCGGCGTTCAGAGATCTTCTCATTCCGGTGTGAGAGCAGCAGCTGCACCCGGTAACACCACCAGCAGCAGAAGCTGGTAGGGATCCGGACTTTTAAAAAATCTGCTTTGGTGTAAAGTGAAACGCTGTTTACAACATAAAGTTATAAATCCAGAGTGGTGAATTCAGGCTAAGTCAGCAACATTTTTACATTGGTGAACAGTTGCAGAGAGAACGGAAGCTAACGTTGGTAAGCTAGTTAACATACCGCTCTCTATGAGCCCCCACTAGATGCGCTACTTCTTCTGATAACTTAACTGGGCACGAACTAGGTGAAGGAATGCTGGAGGAGTTTTGTTTTTGTTTTGATTGCAAAAACAATTTCAGGCTCTACTTTTCCCTTTGTTTAGTACTCGTGTTGCTCACTGTTTACATGCTTTTGCCATCCACCATGGTGGACCCACGTGATTAGGTGACGTCGGTGGAAAGGGTCAATAGAGAAATCATTATGTAGTGTAGCAGAAATGTTATATTTGCATTTTTAAAACATGTGGGGAGAGTTGTCCATCAAGCTGTTTCAAGGCTGCCAACTCTCTCATGCGTTTGTCAGTAGTCTCTCACACACACACACACACACACACACACCCGTCACGGCCGACGGAGGGACAAGAGAGCAAGCACGTGCACAAACACACACACAAGGAATGCTGCTTGCTTATTTATTTCTGTTCAAAAATAGTTTAAAAAAATGATAGAGCTCATTAAAACGCCATTAAAATAATATATTTTATAAGTAATCTTATTTTATATTGGGTGTCTTAATGCCTGAAAATGGATAAAAGCAGTTATATTTTGATTTAAAGGTTTGAAATTCTAGTGACAAAAAACATTTCTCCAAATGTTCTTTAATGTGATCATTATAATTTTAATGCTTACAACTTTATGTTTTTATTGTCTGCAATGTGTAGCCCATGTCTTTATTAAATGTGCGTTTAGCTGTAAAGTGGTAATTCTCTCTAACGTGTACACAGAGGTGGACATCAGTGCTGAAGTGAAATTCCCAAGATCAGTCTGCTTTGCTAACAAATATAGTTAAATCTTACCTGCATTCTAAATAAATACCGTTAGGTGAAAACATCAGTAGGCATTGAGTTATTGATACAATCCCTAACAGCCAGAATGGAAGAAGAGCATGCTGGGTCATCCTGGATCTGAACCTGTTCTGTGTATTTACCTACAGGATGCAAAAAATGTCTACAAGGCGGAGTTTGGACCATTACATCTAAAAGAAAACATACAATCAGTGATTTTTTAAATTGTTTACATTAATATACAAATTTTCTATTAACCTCACAGCAAATAAGTAGAACAATATAATAAATATGCTTTGGTAGTTAAACAGGTGTTGTGCACACAGGTGCTTTGGGTCCCGGTGCTGGTGGTGTCTCAGAGTTCCTGTCCTCCTGCCGTCTTCTGTTGTCCTCAGGATACGGATTGATGTTTCCTGATGATGAGGGAGGGGAAGTATGTGGGCTTCAAACCGGTCCTGGATAACAGTGGGAGACCTCCGTTGTCTGAATACTGAGATCAGAGGGTTGGTGAGATGCAGATCTTCTCTACCTCATCTAGAAACGGAGTTGGTTCAGGGAAAACTTTTCCAGAGACCAGTTCCATGATGTCATCGCCATATTCTGCAATGATAGACAATAACTTTAATGGCATATTTTGTTTACAAGCAGCTTTAGGAAAGTTGTTTCTTTAGCTTTCATGTTTATAGTAACGTTTGTGTTGTTTTGGTTCATCTTTTACTTTGTTTACAAGTTCACTTTGCTGCAGTGACTTCATATTTTCCTACAAATGTAATAAAATAGTGACACTAAAATTATACAAATGATTCCTTATGAAAGGAAGCTCATTAGAGAGCAGCGCAGACAGACTTACTACATGCTGCAGCCGTTTTTGTAGGCCAGCTGCTGCTGAACTTGGGGAAAGTTATTCTGTACACGTCCAGATCAGATGGTTGTTTACAGAAAATAATGTATTCAATAATTTCTAAACAGACTAAACAAGTAAAACATCAAATAAATCACTCTGCTGTCATCAGACGGAGTGATTCAGGGGGTGAGGTGTTCTTAATGATGAGGGTGGCTGAGGTGTGTCATCACTCACTTTGGTCTAAACCAGACGCTGTCTCTTTACTGGTGGGTCTCCTTCCTCAGTAGGTGACGTGAACCTCCAACATCTGAGCGTTCTGTGTTCCTTAGAGGAGAAGAAAAGTAACATTAGCAAGCTGGCTACATTATTTTTTACTAGCATCTCAAGGCCTTGGAGAAGCAGATCTTCACTTACCTAAACATCAGACCAGTTTGTCCCAGCTGAGCTCATCAGGGCGTTAGTCAGACAGCCTGTCAGTGAAACACGGCTCCAGACTTCTGGATGTGGACTCTAAAAAGCAAAGGAACATTTTTACTTTTGTTTTAATTAATTTACAGGTGATTTTATCAGCTTTCCGACGCTCACGCTCATACAGACGAGTGTCAGTGAGCTTCGCTGCGTCTGACTGATGCAGAGTTAGTTTTTATATCTGCAGTGAGACAAAAACCTAACCTCACTTCACTCAGAGATCGTTCTTTAAAACTCTATTAAATCCACTGTGTTGACACACTTTAATGACTTTGTCACGCTGCATTTTAGCTGATATGGGACGTTATTTACTGGATGCTAAGATTACATCACACTCATGTAGAATAACACACAGGCTCTCTGCTGCTACAATATGTGGAAGGTTATCATCTGGTTTAAAAAAAGGTGTTGATCAGAATTTCCAGATCACGTTTTATTCCACGAAAATTGACCAAATCCACATTAATCTGGGTGCTAACTTTCCTAGCATATTGTGCTAGCGTTAGCGGGTCAGATGCTAATGCTATTGACCCTTTGCACCGACGTCACCTAATCACGTGGGTCCACCATGCTGGATGGCACAAGCATGTAAACAGTGAGCGACAAGACCTGAGCGACTGAGAGGAGGAGTGAATGTGCAATAGCTCAGAGAGATAGGGTGGGGCAAGACCGTTTAAAGACTTAAAAACAAATAAAAGAAGTTTAAAATTAACCCTAAAATGGACAAGCAGCCAGTACAGTGAAGGTAAAACAGGAGTGATGTGTTGACTCCTCCCTGTACCGGTTAAAAGTCGAGCAGCAGCATTTTACACACGCTGAAGTTGAGACAATGAGGACTGGCTCATACCAAGATACAAAGAGTTACAGTAATCCAGACGTGTTGTAATAAAAGCATGGATTAAAGTTTTAAAATCCTCTTTAGTCAAAATGTGCTTTACCTTTGCCAATCAGCAAGTATTGAACATTGCGCACGGTGCAGACTTTTCTGGACATATTCCGCCCAAGCTTCAACTCATTGTTCAAGATCAGAGCCATCGCCTTCACCCCCAGGAAGGCTCCAAATCGATGACCCCGAGTGAGTATGCAGACCTGAGGGGAGCGCCTCAGAGACGGCATTGTAAGCGAGACAGGCTCCATGCTAGGCTAAAGGCTCGCCAGAACTGACCACCGCTCCCCAGCCTGCTGCTATCTAACGTGCGGTCGCTATAGGTCAAGCTGGACGAACTCCCAGCGAGAAACAAACTCCAAGTTTGTAATTAGCAAGACTACAACTTAGACATCGGCATGTTGCATATATGACATCACCACAGAATCTCCTCTCCCCTAGCGTAGCTGCTACTTACCAGATGGCCAGATTTTTGGTGGTTCTTTCCTCCTGAAGGAAGGATTTTAAGTTTGTTGAACTTACAGCCATTTTCTCTCAGTTTTTCTTTGTGTCTGGTTCGATGACGTCACTTTCATGAAGCACATTTGTAGTCCTGGGCTTATTTTCACACAAAACCTAAAATAACCCCCCTCCCCTTCGAAAATAAGCTCTTTCTTGGCATCAAAATGCATCTTCCTGTTTTTGTATAGCATATTCTTAGGGTTCTACGACCCCCCCCCCCCCCCCCCCCCAAGGTCATTCACCCAGTCGCACACACATTCACATGTTGGAGATGATGAGCTACCTCGTAGCCACAGCTGCCCTGGCCTGCACTGACATAGGTGAGACTGCCGAACTCTGGTGCTACTGGTACCCCTGACCACCACCAGCAAGCAAGGTGTGTTAAGCCCAGGGACGCAGCAGCAGCATTCTCTGGTGGGAGCTGGGATTGAACCTACAACTTTCTGATTACCGGATAACCTGCTCTACCTCCTGAGCTGCCGTCCCTGAACAGCAACACCAGTTAAAGGTCTTGGTGTAACGATGGACGGCAATCTCAATTGTATATTACATATCAAAGAGCAAGTAACACCTAAATCAAATGTTGTGCTGATAACCTGTAGAGTAGCTACTAGTGCAGTAGACACGTGTAATCATTACTCTGGCAGTTTAGTGCAACGTACTTCAAATTTAGTATGTGCTTAATCACTTCCTTCCTGTCCATCATGCAACGCCTCCTTTAGGCACTTTCATCAGGAAGTGTGGGTGGAGTTGGTCTCCACCCATGCTTTGAATCACCCTTTAAAATGATCATTCTGAAATCTAAAAAAACTAATCTAAAATCTGTGATTTTATGTCCCATCAAGACTTTGAAAAATGTAAACATTCCTTTATCTCCTGTAGGGTTGATTACTGTAACGCACTTTTCACTGGAATTCCTAAAATATTGATAAGACAGCTCCAACTTGTTCAAACTGCAGCTGCCAGAGTACTGACCAGAACTTTGAAAAAGGATCGTATAACATCCATTCTCAGAACTTTGCATAAGCTTCCGGTTCAGTATGAAATTGACTTAAAAGCACTTGTGTACAAGTCATTAAATAGGCTGGGCCCCGGTTACATCTCTGATATGTTTGAGGTATATAATCCTGGAAGGTGCCTTAGATCTGCCGGGTCTGGCCAGCTGGTGGTGGAAAGAACTAAAACTAAACATGGTGAAATGATGATCTATGTGGAACCAACAGCCCTCAGATCTGCACCAACTGTAGCATGTTTTAACTGGTTGCTGAAAACTACACTATTCCCTGTTCCTTTTGGCACACATGAGTGCTGAGTAGCTGTACTTTGATTAGATATTTTGTCTTTGGTTTAAATAGTTTAACTCCGTATAACCTGAAAAAACAGAAGCGCTCTGTTTAAGTCACTTATTCCTTAAGTATTAAGAATAAGTAACTTGAACAAACAGTGCTTTCATTAGCTCTATAAATACATTTGCCTTGCCTTGCCTTTCAACTTCTCCACCAGAATGAACAAAACAAGGAGAAAAACAAGAGTGCACTGATGTTCTGGGTCTACCTCCAAGGTCAAAGTTCTAATGAACAATCAGATGACACCTCCACCTGTTGGTGGAACAGCTACAGGTCTCCTTCATTGTTCACAAACGGAGCTGATTCCTGTAACCATGAAGCAGGTCTACCACCCGTCACCATTACCTCGGGCTGACCACCCCGCACCCCTTGCTTCTCCTGCATCTGCACAGCGTTCCTGTGAAACAGAAGCAACTAAGCCATGGAGGTGGTGCAGCTTTATTTTTAAAAATCAATCAGAGACAAACTGCTATGAAATGGCAGAAAGATAATATGATGGTGTGGCGGCGCTGACCTTTAAACAGACTGCAGCTAGATCCCGACCACTGAAAAACCCTGACCTTTGTAGTAGCGTTACAGCAGCCTCTAATCTCAAAGGTGGGGACAGCCACACACACTGATGGCATATGTATCACAGACACACACACACACATGTGTGCGCGCACACACACACACACTGCACACAATTAACCACACACAACACACACACATTGCACACACACACAGACACACACACAAACACGCACGCATGCACACACACACACACACACACACACTCACACACACACACACCGCACACGGACACACACATGCACACACACACGCACAGCCACACACTGCCACACGCACATTGCACACACACACACACACACACGCACTGCACATGGACACACACACCGCAAACACACACACACACACACTGCACATGGACACACACACACTAATATACACACACACACACACACACACACACACACACACACACACACACACACACACACAAACCGCACAAGCACACACACACACCGCTCAAGCACACACACACACACACACACACACACATAAAACATGTTGAATATATGGAAATGAAAGCAAATGTCCTACTTTACACATCAGATGCAGACTTTCTGTCTGACCGGATTTGTTTATAAACCTATCGACATGACAACAACATGACAACAATTACAGCAAACACACAAAGTGATGTTTGTTCTGACAGACATGTCATCACACACTTCAGTCCTAATGATGGTTCTGCAGAGAAAAACATTTTTTTTATTTTATATAAATTAATTGAAGCCATGTTTGCCTGCCACATTGTATTTTTCATTATTGTATTTTTTCATTCTTTTTTTTTACCTCATGATCAACGATCATGTTAAAAACTACAGCAGCTGTGGCATTGTGTTCAAATGCAATTCAAACCTTTGATGGCATAAATGAAGAGGAAATCTACTTCGTGCTTCCTGTCACTCTCACCCTGATATATGATGAAGTGTGTTGAGCCTGGTTTAGGCTCAGGCTTACTGTTTATGCTGTGTGATGCTGCCATCTTTTGGTGGTTGTGTTGGAGCTGAGGCTGGAAGGGAGGATATCCTCCACCTACCTGACAGGCTCCAGGTGAGCTGCCTGAGCAGCACGAGCTCTCAGATCAGAACTAAACTCTCACAGGAGAACCGAAACAGGTTTTGGTTTTCAAGTCAGACTTGAAAGAATCATAAATTCCAGAATGTATTTGGTTTAAGCTTTTATCTTGTCATCAATCTTCCATCCATCCACTTGTCCACTCTTGCTTCTGGGGGGTAAAAGTCTAAACACATTATTTAATGAAAGAAGTGAGAATGAATTTATTGTGGAATGTAAAATTTTTTTTGGCCTGTTTGCCCTAAAATAAAAGTATCTGACTCCCTGGGTCTGATGGGTGGATTGCTTCTTGGTCTGTAAAGTAAATGTGAGTTCATGATCATCACCAAGATCAGGACGTAGGACACTTTCTTCTGTCATGTTTGCTGGATTTAGTCATATTTTATGAGCGGTGCACACAAGTCTGATTTTTAGTAAAAGTCAGGGATGGTTTGTGCTCCCAGTTTACAAAAGTTAAAATGAAAACATGATTAAAAAGAAACCATTTTAATAGGTATTAACATTGTTAACCATTCCTGTTTCAGTTGCCTGACCGTGGTTGGAAGACACAGGGGAGAATACCTCCAGGGCCAAAGTTGTCCTCTTCGGGGTTTACCCCCCTTTCTGTTTCACAAGTTGCTGAATTAGTGGTGACACACTGCAGGACACACATGGAGTTTGCTGAAGCCTTCAGGTTTATTTTTGAACCGCACATTAACCAACTTTAACAGACTGTTTTCTGGTCGCTATTGCTTCCTTCTAGCTACGTCTGCTCACTCTCACCAGAGCACTCTCGCGCTTTCACCCGCCCTCAGCAAATGCCGTTTTTCCACGCCCATCTTGACGTTCATCTCATGCACAAATCATGCCCGCACTAATCACACAGATCTTCCAATCACATTTTAGCCAGTTTGACAAATCCTGTAACACTACCCCCACTCTGGACGGTAATTAACACCAATTCCACTCCAGCATCAGCATACACAAACTGGAACACAAATTCCTCCTGCTACACAGACACTCAGTGTTGTAGCATTGTGTTTTTATGCTCTTTTATGAAAGAGGAACCATGCTACGTATTAATTCGGAATATTAATTTTTAATAAATCAATAACCAAATTTTATATTGTTCAGAAGACTCAAAGGTTGTTTTCATCGATAAACTGCCGATAATATCTGTGTGTCTGTGTTTCAGTTACATGAGGAAACCAGTTTGACGATTAAAAGTTTTAATTCTTCAAATTAAACTAATGATTTTGAAAATTGACAAACAGGAAATAACAATCACATTGGCAACTTTGTGGGACAATCTTTTAACAGTTTATATGCGGTTCTTGCTCAAATAGACCTTCTGGTGAATTTATGAAGATTGAGAATGTTGTGAGTTGTGAGAGTGATATGATGTGAGATGGATGCGTGTGTGCGTCTGATTTTGCTTCAGGAAGAAACAGGTGTCTGAGTGAAAAGTGATGGTTTGAATAAACTTAGGTTTAGTTGGAAAAAATGCATCCAAACGCTAAACACCGTGTGCTGTCTTACCGAACTCTTGTGGACCCTCTTTCGGATCCGGGCCGTAGAGGATGTTGTGGTTCATCCAGATGACACTCAACGGCTGACAGGAGACGTAGGTGTCGAACGGAACCGGTCCAGAGTTGCCCTCGGTACACGTTGATGGTAAAGCGTTTTGTCGACGCGCTTTCTTAAGTTAATTCACTCAGAACTCAAAAGACTCGGCAATGAGTCTGCGTTAGAGGTTGCGATTCAGTTATTCTGTCTGGCTGACAGAAACAGTGCGAAAGGGGGGAAGAACGAGCCAACAGGCTCTGCCCCCCCTTTGGTTTTCAGGTCTGTTCTCTTTCGTTGTCCAACACGAACTGATATCATAAAAACTGAAACTTACCAAAAGCCTTTCTCTTCTCAAAGCAAACATGTGCGTCATCAAATGTGTCTGGAGTTTACTGTGGGAAGATGTGTGTGGGTGTGTGTGAAGGTCAGTACCAAACATTCTCAACATTATCTACTTAAGTGTGGATTCATTAATCCATTATAATTACCCCAAAGCATAAGAACCATTCATTTGATTAAACACATTTATAATGAGCAAATTGATAATGGTTACTTTAACATTAAAATCAAGAAAAAGAAGTTTAAACTTTATGTTTTGATTTGTTATGACTACTTGTCCATGAGAACTCCTTCTTCTGGTACCGCAGGTGGCAGATGTTATGGTTTCCTCCCAGACTCGCTGGCGTTCAGGTCTTAATCTGTGGGTGAAAGTTCTCAATGACCCAGCTTTGACCCAGCTGAGTCCAACACCACCTTTGTGACAGAAAACCCATATTTCCTCACGTTACAGACCCCCCCTTTTTGTGACGACATGGTGGTCAACAGAGGCCACCTGACGTCACAACCACAATAACGTGATGTACTCGTGAATGTAGACATCCCAGATGAAGGCAGGAACGATGAAGCGTCTCCACAGGTCTCGTGTAGAAGGGAGTATATCCTGATCAGATGATTAAGGCCAAAACTGTTGCAATCATTGTAAAGTAATCCACTTAGGGAATCTTGAAAGCAGAGCTATTTCAATAGCAGTTAATTTCATCAGCAATAATGCAAAGGTATTCAAAGGATAAGCAGCTCGTGTGTCACACGGAGCTGGGCAGGTGATGTGTTCCTCAGGCGAAGTCCAGCGCAGACCTCGACCCATCTCGAACCACGACCGAAGCCCCATGCGACAGGAAACCAGTTGAAGGATGGTGAAGACGACCCCTCTGATGGGATGTAGTCCATACGAGCTCGGAGAAGGAGACAAAGTGAGACAGCCCACACGATAGATAGCATTTGATGCAAATCAAAGAAATCAATCAAAACCTATTTATGGGTACCTCTGGGAAAATGTGGATGCCTTTTGTGAATTATCTAAAGAAGAAATGTTCTGCACCCTGCTCGCTATGTCATGTAAAAACGTGATGCAGTGAAAACACAAATAAAAGAAAGTAAATCCTAACTGATATGTGAAACTCAGCAGGCTGCACTAATTAAAGGCACATATATAAAAGAAATAATCATGAAAATGAAGGGCAAATTGGCTTGTGGCCCTTTAAGGGAAATAGTAACAAAATAAAATTAAGTTTGTAATCAAATATAATCATGCTACACAAAGCACTATGAAAAGATAGAGATGTAAATCAGTTCAAAAAATGTAAATCAGTAGGTTAGTAATCCCTAAAAATGTGAGTTAGTAACAGGACCCTGGCTGGAGGCAGGTAACCTGAAAAAAAAAACTCAAAGGATATCACATTTGTTAAAAATTCATCCCACAAACGAGAGAATTTGTAACGGTCCACCAGTTAGTGGAAAAGAATCCGGTCAGAATAGAGTTGGTCAGAATAGAGTTGTTCAGTAAGCGTTTTGAATCTGGTATTGCGGACCCACAGAGACACGAGTTTGGACGTATCTGTGGGAGCAGGTTCATAAGCGATTTGGTAATCAAACTGTATGTATCTTGTGTTACGAACCCACAGGGAAACTTGTTTGAATTTACCTGAGGGTCCCGTTTGGAACTCGAGTGAAGCTGATGGTTTAGCTGTTAGATCAGAACCTGATTTTACCTGCTCAAAGTTGGGTTGCAGCTTAACGGAGGCGACTTTGTTGTGATCAGAAATGATAGTGAACTGGAAATGCGAAAATGATGCTCGCAAAGCAGGAGGAGGCTCCCCACCCCCCTTTTGTTTCTCAAACTTATGCCGTGTCTGTGAGACAGGAGAAGCATAACAAAGAACAGTTCTTTAGCTCTTAAAAGCCCTATTACCAAGAAGATGCACAGCGTCACCTGAATCGTGCTGAAAGAGTAGGTGTTCAGATGTCCAAAGACCTGGAGGTGTTGGACTTGGAGGTTCTGAAAAGGAGTGATCCAAGGATGGTTGTGTCACGGGTGTCAAAGCAAACCTAGCCATGTTTAGAATCAGATACAGACATGACGCTAGCTTTAGGAACATGGTCTGTCCTGAAAACTGAAGCCAAGAATACTTTATTCCCAAGAATGATGGAGGTTCCCACACAGAATCAGAAAAACCCGGTTTAACCAGAGTAGTTACAGACTGACTAGAACTCCGCCCCGTAGAAGGTGCAGCACCTAACTCCGGGTCGAAGGTCAATGTTGTCAGCTGAATTGGTGGAAGGTCAGTGTCGATTTCTGCAATGACCCGCCCGCTCGGAGGAGGCGTTCCCCCGAACCGGTTGAAGTCCGCAACGGAAAACTCAGTGCCACTCGGCACCCCCCTTTTGTCAGGAGGGGCCCCGAGCAGAGCATCACTGCACGCACCTACTACTCGCGGGCCGGGTGGCGTTCCCGAGCCCGTGAGAGAGGTGTGCGCAGCAACCACCGAGCCACCTTCAATATCGCCGCTGACCACTTGACTACTGGAACCCGCAGGGTTTTCTGCGTCGTCGTGGTCACCTGTAAGAGAAATCACTTCTGGCGTTTTCCCTAGCTGTTTTAAACATGCTTTTGTGGAACCCCTACTCAAAAAATCTAATCTGGATCCAACAGATCCTAAAAATTTTAGACCGATATCAAAACTCCCTTTCCTGTCCAAAGTCTTAGAGAAAGTGGTATCTGAACAACTGGTTTCCTTCTTACAGGATCGCAATATCTTTGACAGGTTTCAGTCCGGTTTCCGTAAGCACCACTCTACGGAAACTGCGCTGCTTAAAGTGTCCAATGACATCTTGATGTCCGCAGACTCTGGGAAATGCACGGTCCTAGTTTTACTAGACCTTTCGTCCGCATTCGACACGGTTAACCATGAGATCTTGCTGAGTAGGCTCCGCGAGTTGGTTGGGTTGTCAGGTTCTGTCCTGGCGTGGTTTACGTCCTATTTATCCGGGAGAAGCCTAAGTGTCTCAGTCAACCAGATCCTGTCTGACCCAACTGATCTACGGTGTGGAGTACCCCAGGGCTCAGTTTTGGGCCCGATTTTGTTCTTGTTGTACATCCTTCCTTTAGGAAACCTAATCCAGGAGTTTGCCGATGATGTTTCCTATCATCTCTTTGCTGATGATCTTCAGCTGTATTGTTCTTTCAAGCCTTCTGACGTTAAAAAATTGCATTCTTTATTATCATGTTTTGAGCGAATCAAACAGTGGCTCGGTGCAAATGCCTTACGGCTGAACTCAGACAAAACTGAAGTACTGGTGATTGCCCCCGATGATGCTGCTCCAGGGATTCACCAGCAGTTAGGTGATCTGAGCTTGTCTGTAAAACCTACCCTTAGAAACCTTGGAGTTTTCTTTGACAAGGGAATGTCTCTTGAACATCACGCAAAGCAGTTAACTAGAAACTGTTTTTACCACTTGAGACAAATTTCTAAACTCAGAACAATGGTGTCTAAAGCTGATCTTGAGTTGATTATTCACGTGTTTACATCATCCCGTTTAGACTACTGTAATAGTTTATTTTCTTGTCTAAACAAAAAAGAGCTGTCCCGCTTACAACAAGTCCAGAATTGTGCAGCTAGAATTCTGACCCGTGACAACAGAAGGGCCCACATTACCCCCATTTTAAAAGCTCGTCATTGGCTTCCTATCACATTTCGCATAAATTTTAAAATTCTTGTGCTGACTTTCAGAGCGCTGCATGGTCTGGCTCCATTGTATGTTCGAGACATGCTCTGCCCTTACACGCCTTCTCGCAGGCTGAGATCTATGGATCAAAACCTTTTAATGGTCCCACGTACTCAGTTCAGGACACGAGGAGATCGCTCATTCCAGGCCGTCGCTCCTAGGCTCTGGAATGAGCTACCTCTGTCTTTACGCTCAATCGACTCAGTTGATGTTTTTAAGAGCAATCTTAAAACCCATTTGTTTCTCCAGGCATTTTAAACTTAGTCTCATTCAGATTGGTTTTATTTGACACTGTATATTGTGGCTGTATTTTACTGTATTTATATGTTGTTGCCTTTTAACTTGTGAAGCACTTTGTGACCTTTTTGTCTGTGAGAGGTGCTATAGAAATAAAGTTACTTACTTACTTACTTACTAGAACACAGAGGCCAGAGACTAAGTCACACCCCAGTGAAAGGAGAAAGGAATTGGCCACCGTATTAGCAGAGGTCACAAACTGAAAAGTGACAAGGTCATTCACATAAAGGTCAAGATGTCCGGGCACAAACCCTTTAAATGGCATGGTAGCTCCGTCCGGAGACCACAAGTGTTTCACGGCGGCTGACGTTTCCATCACGCCCCGATAAAGAAGCCGGTTTGTGCATGAGGCGGACTGACGAGTAAAGCAGACCTCTGACTGAAGCGGTGGGTCACAGCCTGAAGATTTCACACCCATGCTGGAGAGATGGTCAGCCTCTAACATGGATGACAGAGAAGAAGCATCAGGAACCAAAGGGTTAAGCACAACCTGTTCGTCAGAGAGGTTAACCATAGGCTCAAGAGATTTATTCAGCTTAAAAGCAGCAGAGAAAGTGTTGTTTATTTCAAACCTTGATATTGATGGTGGGTTTTTGACCCCCTGGAAGAAATAAAAGTAAAGAAAAATCGTTATGACTGTAAACAGCATGTTGTTTGAATTCACGTCATGAATTGCAGACCAGAACCACCTCCGACCCAGTGCAGCTGGCACCGAACCGCTGCCACTAGTCCCCAACGTGCCCGACCGGCGGCACCCGCCTAAAACGGGCCCGTTCGGGCGGGTGGAGGGACCAGCGTGGCTCGGCCAGTAACCAGACTCCTGCGTCTTGACATGTTCTGGAAGCAGAACGTCAGAGAACCTTACATCAGGTGTAACAGTGCAAGAAAGATTTTGTCGTGTCTCGTCCATCTCTCATTAAGTTCAGAGCAACTCGCGTTTTTACCTTCTGAGTCGACGTATGAGCCCGGTACAGATCCTTAATTAATCTCACACTCAAGGACCGTCCGTAGCTCAACTTAACTTTATGACACACGGTAAAACAAGGAGCTGTTGATAGAGAAATGAATACACACAACTTCACAAGATGGAAGAAAAAGGCATGGAACCAAGCAACGGAGGCTGTGAAAGCCGACCCTTACCGGTCCAAAACAAAAATAAAAAAAATAATAAACCCTACGCTGCCGTGTTGGTATCAGACGGACAAACGTAGCAAAATGTAGATTCTACACACCGTAGCGAATTACAAGAATCACCGCCGATGCGGGTTTTGTGAGGACACAGACTGACTGTGTCAGAAATGGTTTGACAATTTAACGGGACGCGTTCCCTTTTTGTCCAACTGTGGCTCGCTAGCTTAGCTCTCCGGCTAGGTCTAGCGTCCTTTGTCTGTAGCGACCAGACTTAAATTTTCCCGATTAACAAGCAGGCATCTCGCTCCGCTTATAAAAACGGACATTTAAAGCGTACGCAATCTGAATGCAGTAACGCGTGACGGCCATGCTTCGCCTTACGACGTTTACCGAGCGATCCAAGCTACGGTAGGTGTCACCGAGCATTCCGTTTAGATTCGGCTGTGATCAGTCGCCAATGCAATGGAAATATTTTCCACAATAGCTCGCCCACAGTGTCAACACACTGAGACGAAAGGTGTCCGAGAATTTAGTTTCGGTTCGGAGAATTTAGTTTTAATGTTAGGACTGAGGATAAGCTGCTCACGGTAGCTCACCCAGCAAGTTCAGAGCGGAAATGTCGCTTTCCGACCTGAAGAGGTTAGAGACGCGGCGGCGCGTCAAAATGGACAGAATTTAGTCAAAAGCACAACTCACACGTTCGCTCCGAAGGCGAAGATGGGATAAATCAAAGTTAGGTCTGTAATTTGCGGGCAATTTGAGATCGGAGATCTTCCCCGTCAAGTTTCCACCAGGACGTCTCCCGGAAGAGTGACTTCAGCGGAACAATTTCCGTTTTTTTCAAAATAAGACATCAAAGTGAAACACAGAGAAAAGCGTTGTTTGTAGCTTTTAGATGTTCGGAATCAGATAAATCGCAGATATAGAAGTCTGGATACGCTCGCCATTAATCTAGACGAAACTGGCTTGGCTCACCATTAATGTAGCGTTGTGTTTTATGCTCTTTTATGAAAGAGGAACCATGCTACGTATTAATTCGGAATATTAATTTTTAATAAATCAATAACCAAATTTTATATTGTTCAGAAGACTCAAAGGTTGTTTTCATCGATAAACTGCCGATAATATCTGAGTGTCTGTGTTTCAGTTCAATGAGGAAACCAGTTTGACGATTAAAAGTTTTAATTCTTCAAATTAAACTAATGATTTTGAAAATTGACAAACAGGAAATAACAATCACATTGGCAACTTTGTGGGACAATCTTTAACAGTTGATATGCGGTTCTTGCTCAAATAGACCTTCTGGTGAATTTATGAAGATTGAGAATGTTGTGAGTTGTGAGAGTGATATGATGTGAGATGGATGCGTGTGTGCATCTGATTTTGCTTCAGGAAGAAACAGGTGTCTGAGTGAAAAGTGATGGTTTGAATAAACTTAGGTTTAGTTGGAAAAAATGCATC